TATATAACAAAAAAAAAATGCCGGCATGGTGCCAGTGCCTGTAGTCCAGCTACCCGGGGAGGCTGACACGTTATAAGATCACTGAGCCGAATGAGGTGCGTGAGCCAGGCGACATCCCGGCACTCACTTTAGCGGCAAACAAGTGAGCTCTGTCCAAAAAAAAAAAAAAAAAAAAATGAACTCGAGAACAGGAAAAGTTGGGAGTGCTCTTGGAACTGCTTGCCAGCTAGTAATGGCCCTTGAGACTTTTGATGGGAGAGAGTCAACGGGGAGACCAGGCTGCAGATGGGATGTCTCTAAATCTAGCCTGAGGAGGTTATAGTTTGGTATGAATTACAGATAGTGAGAATGCATGGTGGAAAAGATAGAGCTAAATGCAGAGCTGCTAGGGCAACGCAATAGCCAAGAAACCTAAGGGCACACATGGCAGGAGGAGTCACAGTTCTGAGGAGGCAGAGGGCCTCCTGGACCTGGGCACATGGAGAAGTCACAGAGCACCCACTGTGGCAGACGTGGAGAGCACGGTTACCGTCATTAGGGCTCCCAGCGTGGGCACAGAGCTGACGGGCCCGGTCTGTAAGCTGCGCTCTGGTGGCATCACAGAGGATATGAGAAGTATAAAGAGGAGGCAAAGGGCAATATGGAGCCATATATACCACAGCATATTATCAGAACCTGGTATCCGTGATGGACTGGACGTTTAGGGAGTTCGCCATGGCTGGAAATAGGGTCTGGAGCATCCAGGGCCAAATTCTCAGAAGTTTAGCTGTAGTGGGTGTAGTGAGAATTATTTAAAAAGGACCTTTTTCTAAGGTTGGCCATCCCTTTCACTCAGCCCAGAGCGTGGGCAGCCTGGGTGCCCCAGGAATCCAGTCTTTAGTCCTTGTCCTGTGCGGAGGGGGTGGGTGTGGAGAAGGTTCATCCCACAGCAGCGTTACCACCAGGGTATGTCCCTGAGGACTGCAGAGAAAGGCTTGGCCTGGGTTGAGCTGGAAAGGACAGTCTGGACCATACTGGAGCCTCAGGACTCAGGGAGGTGACAAGAAGGCTGCCCTGGCCCTGCTGCCATATATACAGCCCCCTAACAGAGACCACCAACCCATGCGTGGGGACGCCAGCTCAGTCTTCCTATCTCTGCCCACAGGGGGATTACGGTGCCCCCCTGGTGTGTAAGAACGTGACCCAGGGCATTGTGTCCAGTGGACGAATAAATGGGACCCCTCCAGTAATATTCATGAAGGTCTCACATTTTCTTTCCTGGATAAGGAAAACAATGAAGCATAGCTGACAAAGGAAGGCATAAGACTGACCTTCCTCTGAGCTGGACCATCTTTTCTGGGGCAGAGGCAAGAATCCCACAAGGTGGGCAGTGGGTGTGCAGGAGTGTAATAAATGGATCTCTTGCCTGAATATGACTCATGTCTTGTCTATGTGTGTGTTTGTGAGTGAATGTGTGTGTGTAGGAGGGTTATTCATAAAAATGTTCATCACAGCATTAATTAAGAATAGACCCCCAAATTGGAATCAGTATTAATGTCTATGATAGAGAAAGAATAAAGTGTGGAACATTCACCTTATGCAGTATACGGCTATTAGCATCTACCTTATCCACAGCTGTAAAAAACTAGGGTAAGTACATTAAGAGGCTAGTTATTTAGAAAAAACAAACACACAAATAAGCATTTGGTCAAAAGTAAAAGCTCACTAACTAATCAATGAAAAATTGAAATATTAGTAAATTTTTGCTTATCTGATTGGGAAGGATTTACAAAAATGATACCCTTCAGGTCCAGTGAGGACATTGACAAAATAACATTTTCACAAATTATATACAAAGATTCTTTTAAAAAAAGTCTTTGACCCAGCTATCAATCACACCAAGAAAATTCAACAAGGTTATTCCTTATAAAAACCTTGTTACATCAGTAAAATCTTAGAGACAATGCCAATGTCCAGCACTAATTTGGCTATTTATTTTTTAAAGTATCATATTACCGAACATTATAGAATCCTTAAAGTTATGATATACAACTACATTTCGTTACATGGAAGAATATTCACCAGGTATGTTTAAGTAAAAGCAGATCATAGATTCGTATATATTATAATTAAATTTTTGCTTATACACATATTTTTCTTTTAGCTTTTGTTCTTCTTACATATGAATTTTCCTAATTTTTTTCACAACTTTTATGTATTATTTAAAAAATTAAAAGTATTATTTACATATAAATGGGATTCTAAAATGATATTCACTAACAGATTTTTAATAAAATGAGGGAAATATCTATGTTGAACAATTAAAATATAGGATTTAAAAGTAAATATATTGTGATCACACCTATGTAAAAATATACAAAGAAAAAAATCTAGATGAAAATACACCTCTGTTAACAATGATCAATTGGATGGTGATATTAAGACTGACATATTTCTTTCCAGGCACAGTGGTTCACACCTGTAATCCTAGCACTCTGGTAGATTGAGGGGGGAGGATCACTTGAGGCCAGGAGTTCAAGACCAGCTAGAGCAAGAGCTAGACCCCATTTCTACTAAATAGAGAAAAAATTAGCCAGTGAACTAAAAAAATTAGAAAACATTTGCTGGGGGCAGTGATGTCTGCCTGTAGTCCCAGCTACTCATGTGGCTAAGGCAGGAGGATCACTTGAGCTCAGGAGTTTGAGGTTGCTGTGAGCTATGCTGATGCCACAGCACTCTAGCCTGGGCAACAGAGTGAAACTCTGTTTCAAAAGACAAAACATAAAAACAAAAAAAGACTGACATATTTCTTCTATTATTTAATTTATTCAGTATTTTAAAGTTTACAATTATTAAAATAACTTTATTTTTAAAAAATATTCCAATGAAAAAGAATATATTAAATGCCTGAAAAAGAATCCTAAATAATGATATTAAAGAAGCTCAGTGACCCATAAGAGAACATGCATAAACTATACAAACAAATCAGCAAAACAATTCATGATCTAAATGAGAAATTCAGCAAAGAGATAAATATTATAAACTAGAACCAAACAGAAATCCTGGCAGTAAGGAACTCAATGAATGAAATAATAAATACTGTTGAGATCTTTAACAATAGACTACATCAAACATAAGAAAGAATTTCTGAACTCAACTACAGGTCTTTTGATATAACTCTGTGAGACAAAAAAAGAATGAAGGAACCCTATATGTGAGATACAAGAAAGCCACCAAATATTTAAATTCTGGGTATTCCTGAAGAAGAAGAGATGGGCAAAGGCATAGAAAAACCTATCAAATGAAATAATAGCTGGAAACTTCCCAAGTCAAGCAACAGATATAGACATCCATATTCAGGAAGCTCAAAGACTTCCAAAGTAGATTGCAAACAAAAAGTCTTCTTCAAGGACTTATACTCAAAGTGTCAAAAGTCAAAGATACAGCAAATTCTAAAACCAATAAAAAAATTGTCTAATCACTTATAAGGGAATCCTCATCAGACTAACAGAAAATTTCTCAACAGAACACTTACAGTCAGGAAAGAATGGGATGATGAACTTAAAGTACTGAAGAAAAAATTAAAAACCTACAGGTCAGGAATACGATACTCAGCAAAGCTAATATTTCAAAATGAAAGAAATATAAAGTTTTGTTACCAAAAACTTGGCACTTATCTTCAAGGCTGCATCAGAAGAATGAGAATAAGCATTTAGGGGAGAAGGAAGGAGAATTTTTAATACTTTGCTGGCAAAAGGAGAAATACATGCAGAAATACAGAGTTTTTAAAGGGAGGGCCCCTCAGTTCTAGGCTATTGTGATTAATTACTCTAATCTTCCCATCACTACCAAAGACAAAGCCTATGAACTCCACAACCTCCTGGGACTAGCACCACCTAGGAGTTATCTCCTTTAACAAAGGAGCTGCCTCGTGATGCAAGCTAGGGTGCAGTTCCCAAAAAGAATGGGTGATTTTAAAGAGACAGAGAGTCTTTTTTTTCTTCAGGCCCTTCATTCTGTTACAGTTTTTCCCAAACAAGCAAAAACTTAGGAAATTTATCAATACTAGACCAGTCCTATAAGAAAACCCAAAGTGAGTCTAATATCTGGAAGTGAAAAGATAATATTTACTATCATGAAAATACACAAAGTATAAAACTCTCTGGTAAAGCAGATACATAGACACACAAATGAGAAAGAGAAAGAACTCAAATGTTACCACTATGGAAACCAGCAAATAACAATGATAAACAATAATAAAAAAGAATGGAAGAGAGGATATACAAAGCAACCAGAAAATCATTAATTAAATGAATAAGTCTTCACCTATAAATAATAATCTTGAATGTAAACACATTAAATTTACCACTTAGAACATATAGATTGGCTGAATGGATTTTAAAAAAATGACCCAACTATATGCTACTTACAAGAAACTTACTTCAGGCTGGGCATGGTGGCTCATACCTGTAATCCCAGCACTTTGGGAGGATGAGGCGGGAGGATCACTTGAGCCCAGGAACTCAAGGTCACAGTGAGTATCATCACATCACTGCACTCTAGCATGGCCAACAGAGTGAGACTCTCAAATATCCTAAAAAACAAAAATATTAACATTTTCAATATCTTAAAATATTAAATTTCTCAAAATAATGGGAAGTTATGGAGCAACTGGAACCCTCATATATTGAATTTCTTGAAACAAGTAAAAATAGAAACACAACATACCAAAACCTATGGGATACAACAGAAGCAGTGTTAAAAGAGAAGTTTATAGCAATAAACACCTACATCAAAAAAGTAGAATGATTTTAAATAAACAACCCAATCATGTACCTCAAGGAACTGCAAAAACCAGAGCAAACCAAGTCCAAAATTAGTAGAAGGAAAGAAATAATAAAGATCTGAGAAGAGCCGGGCATGGTGCCTCATGCCTGTAATCCTAGCACTCTGGGAGGCTGAGGTGGGTGGATTGCTCAAGGTCAGGAGTTCAAAACCAGCCTCAGCAAAAGTGAGACACTGTCTCTACAATAAATAGAAATAAATTAATTAATTTTTTCTAATATATGTAGAAAAAATTAGCCGGGCATGGTGGCATATGCCTGTAGTCCCAGCTACTCGGGAGGCTGAGGCAGGAGGATCTCTTGAGCCCAGGAGTTTGAAGTTGCTGTGAGCTAGGCTGACACCACAGCACTCAATCTAGCCTGGGCAACAAAGTGAGACTCTGTCTCATAAAAAAGATCTGAGAAGAACTGAACAAAATACAGACTAAAAAAATACAAAAGATCAACAAAAGAAAAAGTTGATTTTTTGAAAAGATAAACTAAATTGACAAACCACTGACTTAGACTAAGAAAAAAAGAAGGAAGATTCTACTAAATAGAATCAGAAATAAAAAAATGCACATTACATCTGATAATGTAGAAATCAACAGATTGTTAGAGACTATGATAGATAACTACATGCTAACAAATTGGAAAATGTAGAGGAAATGGGTACATTCTTCTAGACATATACAATCTACCAAGATTGAACTAAGAAGAAACAGAAAACCTGAACAGACCAATAACAAGTTATAAGATCAAATCAGTAATAATAATTCTCCCAACAAAGAAAAGCCCATTACTAGATGGGGCTTTACTACTGAATTCTACCAAACACACAAAGAACTAACCCCAATTCCTCTCAAACTATTTCAGAAATATTAAAGGAGGAAATTCTACCTAACTCATTCTACAAGGCCGTTATTACCCTGATACTAAAATCAGATAAGGATACAACAACAACAAAAGAAAACTACAGGTCCATATTCCTGATGAATATAAACACAAAAATCCTTAACAAAATATTTGCAAACTGAATTCAAAAACACATCAAAAAGATAATACAACATGATCAAGTGGGATTTATCCCAATGATGCAAGGATAGTTCAACATATGGAAATGAATAAATGTAATGCATCACATCAACAGAATGAAGGACAAAAATCAGAGGATCACCTAAATAGATACAGAAAAAGTACTTGACAAAATTCAACATCCTTCCTGATAAAAATTCTCAACAAATTAGGCATAGAAGGGACAAACCCAACATAATAAAGGTGATACATGACAAACCTACAGCTAGAATCACACAGAATGGAGGAAAGCTAAAAGCATTTCATCTGTTAAATAATAACTGGAACAAGACAAGGATGCCCATTGTCACCAATCTTATTTAACATAATATTGGAAGTCCTACTTAGAGCAATCAGGCAAAAAAAGAAGGAAGTAAAAGGCATCCAAATGAGAAAACAGGAAGTCAAATTGTTCCTCTTTGCAGAGGACATGATCTTGTATATTTAAAAACCCTAAGGACGTTACCAAAAAACACTTAGAATTGATAAATGAATTCAGTAAGTTGCAGTATGCAAAATCAACATACAAAAAATCTATAGCATTTCTACACAACAAACTAGCTGAAAAAGAAATCAAGAGAGCAATCTAATTTATTAATACAATAGCTACAAAAAATAAAATGCCCAATCAATCAATTTAACCAAGGAGGTGAAAGACCTCTACACTGAAAACAAGAAAACACTGATGAAAGAAATTGAAGAGAACACAAACAAATGGCAAGATATCTCATGGTCAGAGACCGAAATACTCAATATTCTTAAAATAACCATACTACCCAAAGAAATCTACAGTGTCAATGCAATCCCTATCAAAATGCCAATGAAGTTCTTCACAGATATAGGAAAAAACAATCCTAAAATCCATATGGAGCCACAAAAGACCCAGAATAGCCAAAGCAATTCTGAGCAAAAATAACAAAGCTGGAGGCATCACATTACTTGACTTCAAAATATACTACAAAGCTATAGTAAACAAATCAGCAGAGTACTGGCATAAAAACAGACACACAAATGAATGGAAGAGAATAAAGATCCCAGAAATAAATATACACATTTATAGCCAAGTGACCTCTGACACAGTTGCTGAGAGTATACATTGGGGAAAGGAAACCCTCTTCAAGAAATGTTTCCAGGAAAACTGGATATCCATATGCAGAAAAATGAAACTAGACCCCTGTATCTTACCATATACAAAAACAACTCAGAATGGACTTAAATATAATACCCAAAGCTATAAAACTACCAAAAAAACCAAAAACAACAACAACATAGGAGTAATGTTTCAGGACATAAGTCTTGGCAAGGGTTTTATGGCCAAGACCTCAAAAGTAAAGGCAATCAAAACAAAAATAGACAAATGGGATTATATTAAAATAAAAAGCTCTGCACAGCAAAGAAACAATCAACAGAATGAAGAGACAACCTGCAGAATGGGAGAAAATATTTGCAAACTATTCATCTGAGAAGGGACTAACATCTAGAGTATACAAGGAACCCAAACTCGACAGGAAAAAACAAACAAACAAACAAAGACAAACAGGCCAGGCACAGTGGCTCATCCTTATAACCCCAGCACTTTGGGAGGCCAAGGTGGAAGACCACTTGAAGCCAGAGGTTCAAGACTAGCCTGGACAACACTGTGAATCTCATCTCTACAAAAAACATAAAAATTTGCTAGGCATGGTGGCATGCACCTATAGTCCCAGCTACTCAGAAGGCTGATACAGGAAGGTCGCTTGAACCCAGGGGTTTGACGTTGCATGGAGCTATAATTGTGCCACTGTACTCCAGCCTGGGCAACAGAGAGAGACCCTTATCTCTAAAAAAATAACAAACTTAAAAATTAAAAAACAAATAATCCCATTAAAAGATATGCAAATTGTCTGAATAGACATTTCTCAAAAGAAGATATACAAATGGCCAACGGTATATGAAAAAATGCTCAACATCACTAATCATCAGGGTAATGCAAATCAAAACCACAATGATATATCATCTTACCCCAATTGGAATTGATATTATGAAAAACAAAAATAACAAATGCTGGCAAGGATGCAGAGAAACAGAAACTCTTATACACTATTGATAGGAATGCAAATTAGTACCATTATGGAAAACAATATGTAGATTTCTCAAAAAACTAAAACTAAAACTACCATACAATCTGGCATTCCCATTACTGGGTATTTAGTGAAAGAAAAGGAAATCAGTTTATCAAAGGAATACCTACACTCTCATGTTTATGGTAGCACTATTCAGAATAGCAAAGATATGGAATCAACTTAAGTATCCATCAAAAGATGAATAGATAAAGAAAATATGGTGTATACATACACAATAGAATACTATTCAGCCATAAACAAGATTGAAATCCTGTCATTTGCAGCAACATGGATGGAACTGGAGGTCATTATGTTATTAATAAATAAAATGAGCCAGGTACAAAAAGACAAACATTGCATGTTCTCACTCATGTGTGAGAGCTAAAAAAAAGTTGATCTCATCGAGGTGGAGAGTAGAATGATAGCTATCAGAGACTAAGAAATGAGGAGGAGAAGATGAAGAGAGATTAGTTAATGGGTACAAATATACAATTATATAGAAGAAATAAGTTCTAGTATTCAAAAGCACAGTAGGGTGACAATAGTTAGCAACAGTGGATTGCATATTTCAAAATAGCTAGAAGAGGAGATTTGAAATGCTCCCAACACAAAGAAATGATAAACGTTTGAGGTGATGGATATTCTAAACACTCCGATTTGCCATTACGCATTATATGCATGTACCAAAATATTACATGTACCCCATAAATATGTACAATTATTATGGATCAATTAAAAAGTTTATTAATATATCTGATGACACAAATTTCTCTATGCCACTAATGGTCTTCTAAGGCACATCATCTCATTAATATGTCATAATTTATATTATCATTCTATTATTGTTGAATATTTGGATTATCTGAGCATTTTTGGAAGCGTATCTCAAGGAATAATTTACCTCCACCTCTTTCTCACATTTACTCAGGGTCCCAGAGTTAGGTGCTCAGTCTTAGAAGGAAGCTTTTTTGCCAGGAAACACTAAGGACCTTGCACCTTTTTACAAATCTTTTTCTGCCACATTCAGGGCTTCTAGTGTACCTCTTTCCCTCTAACTACTTTGATGGAAAGATTTTTTTTTTTTTGAGACAGAGTCTCACTTTGTTGCCCAGGCTAGAGTGAGTGCCGGGGCATCAACCTAGCTCACAGCAACCTCAAACTCCTGGGCTCAAGTGATCCTCCTGCCTCAGCCTCCCGAGTAGCTGGGACTACAGGCATGCGCCACCATGACTGGCTAATTTTTTTCTATATATATTAGTTGGCCAATTAATTTCTTTGTATTTTTTAGTAGAGACGGGGTCTCGCTCTTGTTCAGGCTCGTTTTGAACTCCTGACCTCAAGCAATCTGCCCACCTCGGCCTCCCAGAGTATTGGATTACAGGCGTGAGTCACCGCACCCGGCCTTAATGGAAAGATTTTAAGCAAATCCCAGTGAATTTGCTGCAGCAAAATCATGTACTTCAGGACTCTCTCAGGGGTTCTTTCCCTTGTCACCTGCTCTTCCTTGGTTTTCCCTAAGGACAAGAACACAGGCCTGTTCTTGACAAGGAAGCTTCTGGCTCCCTGCAGACACTTGTGGCCGGAAGACAATGACT